CGTATTGCTGTTATTGTTAAACGTTAACAACGTTAACGTTATGAGTTTAATGTTAATAAATTGTTCATTTTATTAGCTACACAAGAGGCTGTGAATAAAAAAAATTACCTGAACGTTGTCCTTCAATCGGAGATATGATGGCGCCGACGAAACAAGGTCATAAACTGTTCGAGTATTATGTAGGCGGACAGAAAACAGCAGATCGCATCATTATCCATCGCTTTAATTCAGTGCAGTGCAGCTCCAAACGTGATTTCAACGCTGTCACGGTTGCTTGGCAACATGAGTTACGCTGAGGTGGGGGCGGGGACAGTTGGTGAAGGGTAGACCTGTCCGAATCCACAGATATATTTTACTTCCGGTCTTAGTTTTTTCCCGGCCTTCGAAGGACCCGTCCTACGTAGACCAGTCCTTCGAAGGATGCAGACCCTGAATTCGGACACAGCTTATATTTATTTGTTTTTTAGTTTTGGTTACTGTTGTCAGATTGCCATATCTCCACCTAGTATTTATTTGAAAATATACACGATAATATTCTAGAAGTAGCTGTCATGGTTGATCACCATTCGACTTCCCTTTTTCACGATAGTTCACAAACACATCAGTGGCTGACCCAGGTTGGCCTTGTTGTTGTGTTATTTTTATCCACAGGAGTACCTGTGTAATCCGGTCAGTTTAAATAAGCGTCATTGCTGGTGGAAAATGTGCATAAACAAAAGCTGGCCAAGGTTTTGTAGGTTACTAATCTCGCCTTTACCTGCTGCTCAGAAGCCATGACATCAGAAGCCTGCTTGTGTGGGCCAGATTATCATCATCATCATTTGTTTTCCCATTATTGCTGATTATGGTTTAACAGGTGTCTAGCCCTGCAAAGGTGGATTTACACAACATCACATTTACTAAACAACCTCCTTCTAAACTTCTCCCTATAGGAGGGGGATTGTGTGTCTTCTCCCTGCCCTCAAGTAGCAGTTGTCGCATATCAAATGAGACAGTTTGTATTTTTGTAGAAAATCTATTTTTAGGCCACATGAGTAAAGCACAGGTGGTGCACTATGTTATATAAATGCTCCCCCCCCCATGTCATATGAGTTATTCCGCTGACGTTCTGCCCCATACATAGCCATTTGGAGGTGTCTGACAGCCCCTTCCAATCAGAAGTGGCCTGCTAGTTATCAGTAATGTGCTGCGTGTGTAGTGTGGCATGGTGGGTGATGGTGCGTTTGAACAAAACATGCATTCCTGTGCCATAAAAGGTTTTTTATGGCACAAGGATGCCATAAAACATTCCATGTTATCCATTTCTTCACACACACACACACACACACGCGCAGCAGGGTTGTTTTGTAAAATGCACAGATGGAAGTGAATACAAAGGAAGCTTTAATTCTGCATGTCGGCTAGCTGGCTCTTTGTAAGATGCTTTGTACGCAGACCTGCACAGCACACTGTCAGAAAATTATGAATTGGCCTGGTAATGGCAAAGGGAGCGGGCACAGCTGCATTGCATGCAATTGCAGGATTCTGGAATAGACTGGGTGTGGCAGCTTTGCAGGCTCCAGGAAGATGCTCCCAGGACACACGGTGCAGCTGTGGGCTGCGGAGTCTCTGGGTCTTAATCATATATGTGCCAGGCAGAGAGGGTAAACCTATGTCGAAAATGTAAACCACAACTGTAGAACTGTTTATCACTTAATAACCAGTTGCAGAGTACCGAACTGTTCATGGCTGAAGTTCTGGGTAGTCTTTCTGACTGCCGTTAATGACTGGCTGCTCCGATGCTCTAGTCGCACAGCCAGGAAAAGGCAAAAGGAGAGGGGTGTCAGAATGAAGTCAAGTAGGTGAAATTTGAAGAAGGAGATTTGGGTGTTTTGTTGAAAAACATTTCAGTACCTTGGCATCAATTTCAGTTGAGATATTTTTAATCCTCATGGGGTTCCTGAAATATCTCGTATCTCATTGTTGTGGTTATGTTTCAAAGAACCAGAGAGTAGTTCATCTTTTCTTCCTGTAAAACCATTAGAACATTGTCTATTTTTTTTTCCAATACTAACAGAAGTAACTGAGTCTAATGGCTTT